ATTCTTTAAATTGGGTCTAGGGTGTAATTTGCAAAAGAGCCTGGAAAGTATCCTGATCTGCATCAAAAGAAGCATGGCCAGCGGGTCAAGGGAGGTGATTCTGCCCCTCTACTCTGCCCTCGTGAGACCCCACCTGGAGTACTGAGTCCAGTTCTGGAGTCCTCAGCACAGGAAAGAAATGGACCTGTTGGAGTGGGTCCAGAGGAGGGCCATGAAAATGATGCGAGGGCTGGAGCACCTCTCCTATGAAGACAGGCTGAGAGAATTGGGACTGTTCAGCCTGGAGAAGAGAAGGCTCCAGGGAGAGCTTACAGCAGCCTTCCAATACCTAAAGTGAGTCTACAGAAAAGATGGGGACAACACCGCTAGGTTTTGAGCAGGGCCTGTTGCAATAGGACAAGGGGTAATAGGACAAAAGAGGGTAAATTTAGGCTAGATCAAAGGAAGAAATCTTTTACAATGAGGGCAGTGAGACATTGGCACAGATTGCCAAGAGAAGTGGTAGATGCCCCATCCCTGGAAACATTCAAGGTCAGGTTAGCCAGGGCTGTGAGCAGCCGGATCTAGCTGAAGATGTCCACACTCATAGCTGGGGGGTCGGGCTGGATGACCTTTAAAGGTCCCTCCCATCCCAAACCATTCTGCAATTCTATGAGAATCAGGAGCTCAGACACTGAAACAGACAAGGAGTGCACCCCCATGGTGAACTATAACCCATGGGCCTTTTGGAAATGGCTGCCTTCACTTAGATGTCAGCTCCTCAAGTACTGCAGGAACAGTGGGGTGAACTGGAAAGCTCTCTGCTGGAGGTACTCAGGCTAGGTGATGATTAGGGGTTCCTCAGCCTTAAAATCTTCAAATATATATGCCAACGTCCCACCTGAACAGCAAGCACGTAGCTTGTGTTACAGTCCTTCACTGTGCATTTCCCAAGCAAATGAAAACAAAGGGAAAAATGTTTGAATCATAGTTACTAGTTACAGTAGGAGAATACAAGACATAGGCAGCTATGCATTACCTATTTGATGCAAGTTATAGATTACAAAGAGGGAAAGACCGTTTGTGATCATCTGTTTTTTTTCCTATATTACACAAGTTACAGGACTTTCTTGAGGAACTAGAGCATTTCTCTGAGGAAATCAATCAATTTCAACTTAAAAATTTCTAGTGAGGGAGAATCCATTACAATCCTTGGTAAATTGTTCTAATAATTAATTACCTTCCATGTTAAAATGTGTCTAGTTTCAAATTTCACTGGTTCTTGTCAGACTTTTTTTCCACTTGACTGAAATGTCACATATTAGCAAATTTCTACTCTTCTATTTCTACAGGGAGATGGGAAATTTATAAATTATAACCAACTATCCCCTTAACCTTGTCTTTATTAAGCTAAATAGATTGATCTACTTAAGCCTCTCATTGAAAGACATCCCTTCCCCTCTCTTAGACCTTCTCTGAACCCCTCTCTGTTGGCCATCAGACCCTGATGGTGGACCCCAGAATCAAACACTACTCCAGTTACCACTGGACCTCTGCCCATACAGAGGCAACACAGCTTTACTCTGTGAAATCCTGCAGCAGATCCAGGGCATTGACCCTTGGACTCATATCCTCGGATTGAAAATTTCTGTTTAGCAGATTATTCACCATTATTCACCAGTACTCCTGATTTTTACTTTGTTTTTGTTTTTTTTCAGAGAGTGTTTATACACATGGACGAGACCCCAATACTAGAAATAAATATACTGAGCCCTGAAATCAACCTGGAGTTGTGTAAAGCAGAGAAATTAATTTCTCTGCAGAAGGGGGGCATGTCAGATGCTTCTCTACATCCACTAAACTGTGCCTCAGACATGGAGAACAAAACACAGACCACCTTAACAGTCTATGTTTCATGTGTGCTTGAAGATCTGTGATCATTGCTTGGTTTCCCAGACAGAATTTAAGATATTAGATGCCAGAAAGAAATTCTTTACTGTGAGGGTGGTGAGGCACTGGAACAGGTTGCCCAGAGAAACTGTGGCTGCCCCATCCCTGGAAGTGTTCAAGGCCAGGCTGGATGGGGCTTTGAGCAACCTGGTCCAGTGGGAGGTGTCCCTGCCCATGGCAGGGGGGTTGGAACTTGATGATCCTTAAGGTCCCTTCCAACCCTAACCATTCTATGATTCTATGATATTTGGATTTTTCTACAACATTCCACATAGCCTTTTGGGTTGCATCTCTTTCCCTGTTTGGCAATGGTACCCACCATGGCCAGGACACCCAGAGAGTTACAGACAAAGCAATATCTGGAAAGTTCTTTTACCTTCAGTTATCCTTTAGGACACATTTCATGCTCACTCTTTACAATGGGATGATGAGAGAACTTCTTGTGTTGTATCCGTGCTTTGGGATGGTTTTGAGAACAGAAGTGATGCAATTTGCCTTCAACACACCACAATTATTTCCTGGAGTATGTTTGCAAACCTGCTGTCTGTTTTCTAGGGATACTGTATCTACAGAGGGATTTCCTGCTAAAATACATCCTCAGAGGCCATTAGCAAGTGATGGGCTAAGGGGTCACCTCTTTCATGAATCCAGGTATGTAAATAAAAACGGTAGAAAAAAGCAAGGTGAACATTTGGGCCAGGCAGCATGTACAACAGATAAATTTTGGTGTAGCTTATGTTCTTTTTCTCTGATTAATGAATACACGAAATAGAAAGTCACTAATATGCCAAGAGGTAGCTTTCTGCCCATGATAAACCCAATAACAGAGTGGCTGGCTACAGAGCAGGGAGTCTTGCAAGTTTGGAGGCAAAGGTCAGAATGGTCTTTTCCTTCCCATCAGAGACTGGAAAGCACCATGGCCATACTTGATCTTACAGAGGGAGTTAATATCTTTAAAAAAGACCCCCAAACCAACAACAAAACCACAGCAGAAACAGTAGGTTAGCTTCCTAAGCTACCCTGCCCATGGTCATGCGCATCTCTACCTTCCTGGTTTCTGGCATAACTAAAAGTAGTGATGGCAAGATGCTGCTTATGAAGTTGAGCGCGTTACTCAATGAGTAAAATTCCCCTACTGAGCCATCATTACTCCAGCACGTAGTATCTGTAGAACAAGTTGGCCAGAATTTCAACACTGCATATGGCTTTTTCACACATGAACACATTTTTAATCATGTATTTGTTTGAATGGGGATATCAACTTTGGAAAACAAAGTACACCTCTGGTTCAAAAAATGGCTGTGGGAAGTACAAGAAGCTCTAGTTTTATTTTCTTTCATAAGAACCATTATGAAAAGTTCAACCGGAAATGTATGAAAATATATAGAGCTTAACACTGCAAAGTTCAGCATGTGTTAAACAGAGTGAGGGCTTTTCTAAGGCAGCATTGTTCTCTATAGGCTAGTGGTCATAAATACAAATATTCACGCAATCCTTCCCATTTCACGCATGGGGCTGTCACTATCAAGGTTCTTCACTGAGCATTTTTTTCTGTTTCAGAGCCTTGAAGCATTATCTAGTGGGCTGGTTTTTCAGATTTTTTTTCCCTTTGGGATGAGAGAAATCAAAACTAGATAAAAAAACACGTTGGCTCAGGTGAATCCTTCAGGATTTAGCAGCAATGCACAAACATCAGAGGTACCTTGGAGACTTGTAAACATCCAAAAGATAAGGCACCAGGATCATTTTGTTAAAGCCACATTTGCATTGCTTTATATACTAAGGAGTGGTCATTAAATGGTTGGGGACAGGAGGTGGAGAAACGCCACCGCTTAAAAGTAGTCCTTCCTGAAACAAAACAAGGATTTTTGCTGCCTTGTGCTCCACCTCAGCCTCTCATTCCATATCTCAGCTCAGAGTGAGGGGCTGTATCAAAGGGGTGCCTGGGCAGAGTGGTCATGGTGATGTCTGGCTCCATCTGTTGTAGGACTCTGATTGTGGATTTTGTCCTGAGCAACACAAATATGGGATGGAGGAAACGCATGGCACACTGAGGTCTAAATAAACTTGCTTCTAACAGCAAATAACCTGCAAGGTCTTGGTATAGATAAGTGCTGTGATTCTGGCAGGTCTCCAGAGACAGGACAGAGGGGCAGTCCCGGGCTCATACCTTGTTTAATTCCCGAGTGCTGTCCTCTTTCACACTTAGTGTCTCCTTGCCACGCTGCTTGTGGTAGGGCATGGCTGGTTAAAAATCAGAGCACCACAATTATTTCCCTGCTGTCACAAGCTATTGTGGACTTTTGTCTCTTTCTGTAGGTGGCCAGATTGACATGATGAGTTGGGAGAGCCCTGGAGCATAGGGGGAATATGGAATAGGTGTTTTGCAGACCCTCCTTGACTAGATGTTACAAGGTACTTACAGTGGGTGGGACCTGTAAGGATGTCCTCTCCAGGCCTAAACTGGGAGATTTGCAGGACACAATGACAACTCTTTCCAGTTGCCTATCCTGGACATTTTCTACCTATAATGCCTTGAAATTCTCTACCTAAATTGATTTGTGGCAGTGTCCCACTGCCCTACGGGTGGCAGGGACCATCCTAGGTCAGGGGTCCTCTCCTCAGTCCTGAAGGGTGAGGGATAACCCAGTCAGACAGAGCACACAGAAAGCAGCAGACCAACAAACCAACCAACCCAAACAAACAAGAGAACCCTCCAAACCAAACCAAACCTGCTTCTTGACTCTGAACCAATTTTACTTGCCATAATTTAATGGATATCTGCAGCCCACTTCTATTTCTAAACCCCCAGTTGGTCTGAGAATCATTTATTTAATCAGTTTGGTTGTTTGTGTTTACTTTTTAAAATTAATTACCTTTCATCTGTTGTTATAGTTTGTAATGAGGCTATACTGAGTAAAATTTATTCAGTATTTAACCGAAACAGAGAGACCAGTATAAGGAATGTGCACTAGATAAGATGCATTTGGTGAGTGGGGAAAAGTCACATGAGGGCAGATGCTATAATTTACACTGTTCTGCTGCTTAAAGTTGATGCTAATGGCACCGACTCGGTGTTTCGATGACAACTTTATTCAGAATATTGAAACGGTGCATAAATGTCACTAAGTCAGAAGCTACCAGTAATGACAGTTTCTGAAAGGGCACTTTTTTAATGACGGTTCTGGGACCCTACTCGTACAACTGCAAAATGTGCACAGTGTTTGATTTTAAAGAGCATGAGTAGCTTATAGTAAAAGTACAGTGGCAAAAATTTGGGAAGTGCTTTGAGCAAATTTCCCCTGTGAAGCAAGATCAATTAGGTTAAGAAGCTGAAACCCATAAAATAATGAAAGAGGTGATATTTGCAGTGAGAGGTGACACTCATTTCTTCTGTTTTGGTCTTTAGCTAGCAAACTCTTCATGTGAAGTGGCAGGAAGACTCCACGCTGCTGATGCAAAACTAAAATTTGGATTTTACTTTTACATCAGATACAATAGTAAAATTTCGATGGTATTTTATATCGGGGAGGGGTTAATGTTGTATTTTGCCAAATATTTCAGATTGAGTAATTCTTTCTTTTTTTTTTCTCCTTCCTCCACAGATTGCACCTGTTTTAAGGAGGACAGTGCCAGCTGGTTAGAACCACACTCCACCATTGGCTTTGTCTAGTAGTGCCTGACTTGACGGTAGTAGAGCCGTATCTGGAACTTTCTGGAAAACCTTCCAATTATCACATCTTCCTCCGTGGCAATAAAGTTGAGAACACTAACAGAGGTAGGCTGCTAGCATTTTCATCACTGCCTGATTAGTTCTGGCTTGGTTTAGACAACACACTGGGTGATATTCCAGTAGTTGGTTCAGAGCTGGTGTTGCTCTAGCTGAGAAAGATGCACTACCTGTAGAAAGAATAAAAAATCCTACACACACACACAAATAAGATCCTGTGTGCATACCTTCTCCTTCAGGATAAAAGCAAGCAAAGTTGAATGTAAGGCATCATTATAACATTAAAAAACATTTGATGCCCAAGTACAAACGTTAACACATTTGAAACATTCCTTTTTTTTTTTCCACTGTATGTCACGTATTTACTCCCTTTTCTTTATTACTAAGGAAATGAGGACATTTGCATGAAAACAAGAGCTTAGATTCTTAAAAGTTTGTCTATTCCTGCTCATATTTTCCTGCTCTGAAGGGGTTGGAGCCTTCTGCAGAAGGTACCATAATTGCTTCCAACCCAATGAGCTGTGATGAATAAGAAGCAGAAACTTTTAAACAAAGACCCTGTTTTCCTGTAGATACTCTCAGTAATAAAGCATAGGGTAAAAGAAATATGTGAAGTTATGCTTTGCAGAACTGCTACTTAAAGCAAAGCACCTTTGTAGAATGAAGCTTAATCTGAATTTTTCTAAATGCAGTAAGGGAAAGTGAGTTTGTGTGTTTTCTGTAAGAGATTCCAAATGTCTCCAAACAAGATTGTTAAAAGGCCAAGATGGAATGTATCTCAACATTATTCTCATCAGCATCATCAATATCACTCTATGTGAGAAGATCCAAACTGGAATTATGGCACCATTCTCCCATTTCTTTATAAACCCAGAAACACACAGCCTCTTTCCCCCAAAGATTTAGCAATATAGTATGTTCTTATCCATCTCTGAGTCATTGCCTTGGCCTGCCCCCTCTTAATTTTCCAAAATCAGCAGTAACTGACCAAAACCTACTGAAAAAAAGCAAAGAATATTGTAATTGGAAACAACAAAGAATTTGTAGGAAATGTTTATATTCAACAATAATGACTAGTTTAGGCTTTGTCTCACGATAGCTCACTCAGAGGATAAATCAGAAACCAGGAGGCATTTGTTTGCTTGCACTTTTCTTCCATTAATGCCACCAGGTATCCACCTGTCTAGTTTCTGATCTTCTAAGCAGCAAACACCTCGGAGTTATTATTTAAGAACAACTTTCTAAAGCGGCCCTTTGCCAGTTAATGTAAGTAGGTGGAAGGGTGACTATTGCTCCTCGCGGACGCCGTGTCACCACCGAGTCCTACCACCCTGAGGTGACTGAGCATCCAACCGCCCGGGGGATTTTGTCACCCACCCGAGACCAAAGGAGGACCGTGCAGATGAGCCCATGAGATGCACGAACACTGACCTCCACTCCCACAGTGCTCCTCCATGCTGCTGTCACTGGGCTTGAACAAGAGACTTCCACTGCAATTCTCTCCAGAAAAGAGGAAAAGTGCCAGCACAGGTAGTTTATCATTTGGAGTTGCAGTTTCTTTACTCCTCAGCGCACCTTAGTTCAGCAAGGAGGATTTCCAGTCTGCACCAAAAGTGGCCTTTCCACCGGAACTCATGCATGTAGCAAGTTAGAAGTGTCAAAATCATTTTTTCTAACTATGTCAGTGAACAAAAAAACAAGAGACAGAAAATTCTTACCCTCAAAGGCTACCCTTAGCCATCCAATAACTCCGTATCAAGCACTGTGCTGAAATATTATGGTGCACATTTTCTAAACACTCCTCTTTGGCAGAAGTTAGATGACAGATTTCATCCAAAAGCCTTCTCTTTTTTCCAGCAAGTTTTGAAAACTTGGAAGTATCTTCTTAGCTTTTTCTGTGGACTGAGTGCTACGTCACCACAATGCTGTAATTTCATCTAGAAACACTGGTAACTTTAATGAGAGACACCAGGCCCCATTCTGCCTAAGCCTTCACTTCCTATTGCCAGTGGACTTGTTAGAGCTGATAATTCCAAAAATACAATATTTATAACTTATTCATGATTCATTTTAAACCTCTTTCACAGCCTGATGCACATGAGGCAATTCAAATCGCCAAAACTCTGTTTTGCAACTAACACTTCATTACACTGAATGGAAAAGTTCACACATCTGTTGGCGCTGCATTGTTTGGGGCTGGCTGCGGAGCAAACAGCCCAGCAAGGCACAGATTTGCCGTAGGAAGGCTGTCTCCAAACCAGGGGACAGACACTTTCCTTCTCTGACAAAGGCAGAAGGCGGAAGGCAGAAGAGCCTGGGGTCCCTGGCATGGAAGGACCCACGCAGCCCCTTTCCCCCAGGGATGCCAAGGGGGTTTCTTCAAGTTCAGCTGAGAAATGGGGTGTCACTAGACGTCTTGACAGAGGGAGGGTCTGCACCAGCCCCTTTCATTGCAAGGAGATTCCGGCCTGTGTTATTAAACCCTGTTCATCCTGATACCAAAACAAACCAGAATGGTGAACCTAACCTCATGCAATTTTCCTTATCTAACTATAATCTTATGGTACTGATTTCAGAGCCTCAGATGACTTAAAAGCTGGGGATTAAAAATCTGCATTCGCTACTCACCACATAGATTCTGCTGAAATTACTGTAGCTGTGGATGGAAGGACACGTGAAATGAGCATAGGTTATGCAGATATATATTCTACAACGTACATTTCTATTAGAAGGAAGTCATGCACCATGCAATTCACTGTATTTAGATCACAAATTCTTCTTGGTAAGCATCATGTTTGTGTCCTGTGCTGATCCATTGCCTGGCATGGTGGGGTTCCAGGATGCTCCTAGGACTTTTGGCCGAGTGATTAATGGAAGCAGTAATAAAATTTCCATACCTTTCACTGAAGCAAATCAAAAATCCTAACTGTAATACAAAGAAACAAATCCAGCTGAGTTAAATATTATGCTAGTTTCTGCTCTCCATCCTCACTCCACACCACAGTTGGTTTTCATCTGCTTTTGTTTTTTCTCTCTCCTGTCATTAAACAGTTTGAAAATATAATGAATACTTCTGGGTTTTTTTAAGGCATGGTCCAAACTCAGCTGAATTTAGGAATTTGTCTCTGCTGAGAAGGCGTATGGCTTTTCACATGATCCAAAGTGGTACTCCTGGATATTGAATTGTTTTCTGATATACTAAAGCAGTCCTGCTTATTTCAAGCATGTCACTCATCCATGCTCTAACTGTCCGGATCACCACTACGTCACATCTTCCTTTCCCCCCCCTTGCTTTGTGAGCTCACTTTGGATTCAGGCAGAGCCCAGTATCAGTGTGATATGGAAGTTACCGAGACCCTCAGCAGGAGGTGGGTTTGAGAACAATTATCTGCCAGAATTGTTTAGTGGCGCAGCCCAATCTGTGTGATGACCCTTTTTCTAAATGTAGATATAATGGCACATTAAAGTAATGTTACATCTCATAAAGCCTGCTGGGTGAGGGTTCAAGCGAGGTTCCCCTTGTTTCCCTTCTGCACAGCAGTTCCTTTGTTACTGCCTCTCCTCCAGACCCTGTGATGGACGGGAGTCCCGCGCTCCTCCAGCACTAAAACGGGGCTGCCAAGATAATTTACGGGCCCTGTGGCCAACAAAAAGTCTCAGGCCTCCTTGGGTTATCTCTGAGACCCACTTTTCTCCGCCCATTGTGCCGGCTTGTCCTCTCCGATTTTACAGATGCCAGGAAAGGTTTTGGCAACACAAGCATCCTTCAGCGCCTTGCTTTTAAACAACAGTCTTCTCCGGGCTTGGGCTGTGTCTGTGGCAGCGTTTCTAGACAGAAAGCAGAAAAGCAGAGAGTAAACACGGGATGGGGGGGAGGGAGGCCGGGTTGAGGTTGCCCACATGCAGGACCGGCCAGATGGACCAGCGCGGTCTGGCTGGGGCGTGCAAAGGAGGGCTTCTCCTGGCAGTCTCAGCACCTTCCCTTTTTGCACTAGAAATCCAGGCTCAGGGTCAACAGTTTTGATGGTGCCACAGCCTGGAAAAATCCACACCTGCCTGGAAAGCCCCCGAGTGACTGGAAACTCAGGCACCAGCAAGGTTTCTGCAGAGGACACTGAGATAAAGCTGGTGGATGAAAAGCTGGACATGAGCCGGCAACGTGTGCTCGCAGCCCAGAAAGCCCACCACATCTGCATCAAAAGAAGCGTGGCCAGCAGGTCAGCGAGGTGATTCTGCCCCTCTACTCTGCTCTGGTGAGACCCCACCTGGAGTACTGCGTCCAGCTCTGGGACCCCCAACCTAAGAAGGATGTGGACCTGTTGGAACAAGTCCAGTGGAGGGTCACGAAGATGATGAGAGGGCTGGAGCACCTCTCCTATGAAGACAGGCTGAGAGAGTTGGGGCTGTTCAGCCTGGAGAAGAGAAGGCTCCAGGGAGATCTCACAGCATCCTACCAGTACCTAAAGCGGGTCTACAGAAAAGATGGGGACAACACTGCTAGGTTTTGAGCAGGCTCTGTTGCAATAGGACAAGGGGTAATAGGACAAAAGAGGGTAAATTTCGACGAGATCTAAGGGAGAAATCTTTTATTGGTGAACCTAACCTCATGCAATTTTCCTTATCTAACTATAATCTTATGGTACTGATTTCAGAGCCTCAGATGACTTAAAAGCTGGGGATTAAAAATCTGCATTCGCTACTCACCACATAGATTCTGCTGAAATTACTGTAGCTGTGGATGGAAGGACACGTGAAATGAGCATAGGTTATGCAGATATATATTCTACAACGTACATTTCTATTAGAAGGAAGTCATGCACCATGCAATTCATTGTATTTAGATCACAAATTCTTCTTGGTAAGCATCATGTTTGTGTCCTGTGCTGATCCATTGCCTGGCATGGTGGGGTTCCAGGATGCTCCTAGGACTTTTGGCCGAGTGATTAATGGAAGCAGTAATAAAATTTCCATACCTTTCACTGAAGCAAATCAAAAATCCTAACTGTAATACAAAGAAACAAATCCAGCTGAGTTAAATATTATGCTAGTTTCTGCTCTCCATCCTCACTCCACACCACAGTTGGTTTTCATCTGCTTTTGTTTTTTCTCTCTCCTGTCATTAAACAGTTTGAAAATATAATGAATACTTCTGGGTTTTTTTAAGGCATGGTCCAAACTCAGCTGAATTTAGGAATTTGTCTCTGCTGAGAAGGCGTATGGCTTTTCACATGATCCAAAGTGGTACTCCTGGATATTGAATTGTTTTCTGATATACTAAAGCAGTCCTGCTTATTTCAAGCATGTCACTCATCCATGCTCTAACTGTCCGGATCACCACTACGTCACATCTTCCTTTCCCCCCCCTTGCTTTGTGAGCTCACTTTGGATTCAGGCAGAGCCCAGTATCAGTGTGATATGGAAGTTACCGAGACCCTCAGCAGGAGGTGGGTTTGAGAACAATTATCTGCCAGAATTGTTTAGTGGCGCAGCCCAATCTGTGTGATGACCCTTTTTCTAAATGTAGATATAATGGCACATTAAAGTAATGTTACATCTCATAAAGCCTGCTGGGTGAGGGTTCAAGCGAGGTTCCCCTTGTTTCCCTTCTGCACAGCAGTTCCTTTGTTACTGCCTCTCCTCCAGACCCTGTGATGGACGGGAGTCCCGCGCTCCTCCAGCACTAAAACGGGGCTGCCAAGATAATTTACGGGCCCTGTGGCCAACAAAAAGTCTCAGGCCTCCTTGGGTTATCTCTGAGACCCACTTTTCTCCGCCCATTGTGCCGGCTTGTCCTCTCCGATTTTACAGATGCCAGGAAAGGTTTTGGCAACACAAGCATCCTTCAGCGCCTTGCTTTTAAACAACAGTCTTCTCCGGGCTTGGGCTGTGTCTGTGGCAGCGTTTCTAGACAGAAAGCAGAAAAGCAGAGAGTAAACACGGGATGGGGGGGAGGGAGGCCGGGTTGAGGTTGCCCACATGCAGGACCGGCCAGATGGACCAGCGCGGTCTGGCTGGGGCGTGCAAAGGAGGGCTTCTCCTGGCAGTCTCAGCACCTTCCCTTTTTGCACTAGAAATCCAGGCTCAGGGTCAACAGTTTTGATGGTGCCACAGCCTGGAAAAATCCACACCTGCCTGGAAAGCCCCCGAGTGACTGGAAACTCAGGCACCAGCAAGGTTTCTGCAGAGGACACTGAGATAAAGCTGGTGGATGAAAAGCTGGACATGAGCCGGCAACGTGTGCTCGCAGCCCAGAAAGCCCACCACATCTGCATCAAAAGAAGCGTGGCCAGCAGGTCAGCGAGGTGATTCTGCCCCTCTACTCTGCTCTGGTGAGACCCCACCTGGAGTACTGCGTCCAGCTCTGGGACCCCCAACCTAAGAAGGATGTGGACCTGTTGGAACAAGTCCAGTGGAGGGTCACGAAGATGATGAGAGGGCTGGAGCACCTCTCCTATGAAGACAGGCTGAGAGAGTTGGGGCTGTTCAGCCTGGAGAAGAGAAGGCTCCAGGGAGATCTCACAGCATCCTACCAGTACCTAAAGCGGGTCTACAGAAAAGATGGGGACAACACTGCTAGGTTTTGAGCAGGCTCTGTTGCAATAGGACAAGGGGTAATAGGACAAAAGAGGGTAAATTTCGACGAGATCTAAGGGAGAAATCTTTTATAATGAGGGCAGTGAGACATTGGCACAGATTGCCAAGAAAGGTGGTAGATGCCCCATCCCTGGAAACATTCAAGGTCAGGTTGGCCGGGGCTGTGAGCAGCCTGATCTAGCTGAAGATGTCCATGCTCATAGCTGGGGGGTCGGGCTGGATGACCTTTAAAGGTCCCTCCCACCCCAAACCATTCCGTGGTTCGATGAATCCCACAACCCCCTTGCATTTCAGCGCCGCCGAGGAGAAAAGGGTTTCATCTGATGTCGGCCTCCCCTTCCACCCGGCACCGCCAGCCATCAACCGTGAGGGGCTCCCGCCCACCGGGAGGAACCCCGGCGCCGTGCCCGCCCGCAGCCCCGGGCTGCCGTGCCATGCCATGCCGTGCCGTGCCATGCCGCGGCTTGCGCGGGGCGTCCCGGAGGCGACAAAAGCCGTGGGATGCTCTGGATGAAGGGGGGGGGTGGTTGGGTGAGGGGGGGGTGATGCCCCGGGGGAGCGCATCCTCCGCGGAGGGGCTTCGCTCTCCGTTTCCACGGGAAATCCCAGCCCGGCGGGCGCCCACGTGTCCCCCGCGGGGACCCCCTCCGCCGGCTGCGCGGTGTGCGCGGTGTGCGCGGTACCGCCGCTCCTCCCCCGCTCCGCCAGCCCCCGCGGACGGGCGGCGCAGGGGAATGGCGGGGGG